AGGCCCTGCTGCCTGCCAGCTGTCTGGGGCCCTCTGCTTCCTGCCCTCACATCCCTGCGCCTCCGGGCCTCCCTTCAGCCCCCACAGCTCCCTTGTAGCCCCAGTGAAACCCTTGTCTCTCTTCCTGCAGACCATGGTGTCCAAATCAGTCCTTGTTCTGTCTGCGGTGCTCATCTTCCACTTTCTGCGGCCCCTGGTGATCGTTCCGGATGACGATGCAGAGCTGAGCGAAGAGGACCTGGAGCAGGCTACCCCAGAGCCACCCGAGCCTGCCTGGGGACCCTGCTCTCGGCAGCCGTGCAGCAGGGGCCCTACTGGGCTGCTGCTGAACTGCTCTTCCTGCCTTTGTTCCTCTGGTTCAGGCGCAGAAGGGCGGCCATGAAGCAGAGAGCAGCGGCCCGGAGAGCTGAAGAAGAGGCCAGAAGGCACAGGATGGAAATTGAGCAGAGAAGGATTCGGTTCAAGAGGAGATGCAAAGACTTGAAGGAAATGTGGAGGACCATGAAAATGGTAAAGAAGAGAATGGCCAGGCTGTTTTGAATGAACAGCAAGGTGAGCAGGATGCTCTCTGGGCTGGCCAAGGGCAGCCGCTCATCTTTGTAAGCAGCCAGCGCACAGAGCTGCGCTTGCTGCCCAGCACAGCCCTGCAAAGCTCAGGGCTCCTGCCAGGCCCTGCCCCTCTTCGCTCCATCTCCTGATTGTATCTACAGTAACTGCATCTGTTCCTGCTTTTCCCTGCAGTAACATTGCACTTGCTCCTGGATGGAGGTGTTTGAAGGAGGATTGGGCCAGATTGATGTGCCTGGGTTTCAATAGAGGAAAAGTTTAGAAATAATGATATATATTTATCATATCTAGATAACTGTTTTTGTCGAATAATACAGTTGTACAGTATATTAACTGGTATTATTTGTAATAATATTAAATTATTATACGTAAAAGTTTGAAAAAATATAGTACTAGAATTTTGCTGGAGGGGAATATAAATTTATTAGTCAGGAATTACACATTTTTTAAAATTTGTATTGCAAAAACGTATTACATAGCAGTGTATTATATGAACTATATTGTATGTATTTTATATGTACATTATATAGAATATGTATATGAATATGATATATAATATGGTCGAATTTAACAATACATAAGAGTATACTTTAACCTGTATTTTATAAATTGTATATGGCATATTTAATGTAATATATGTCACAGAATATATAATGGCTGTAAATATAGGAATGGCTAGCAACGATCGATATTGTTATAACTCTATGGATACAAATGATACTTTGATTTTTGTCATGCGTTTCAATAAAGTTGTCATCGACATATTATTTCATTTGTGATGTTTCATGTGTCTGTGCCAACCCTGGAATCCTGTGGGCCGCCATGGCTCCACCCCGTCCCTGGCGGGCTGAGGGCAGCGCCTTCACTCGGTGCCGCCATGGCTCTACCCCGTCCCTGGTGGACTGAGGGCAGCGGCTTCACTCGGTGCCGCCATGGCTCCACCCTGTCCCGGGCACGCTGAGGGCAGCGCCTTCACTCGGTGCCGCCATGGCTCCACCCCGTCCCTGGCACGCTGAGGGCAGCGGCTTCACTCGGTGCCGCCATGGCTCCACCCCGTCCCTGGCACGGTGAGGGCAGCGGCTTCACTCGGTGCCGCCATGGCTCCACCCCGTCCCGGGCACGCTGAGGGCAGCGGCTTCAGTCGGTGCCGCCATGGCTCCACCCCGTCCCTGGCACGCTGAGGGCAGCGGCTTCAGTCGGTGCCGCCATGGCTCCCCCCCGTCCCTGGCGGGCTGAGGGCAGCGGCCTCACTCGGTGCCGCCATGGCTCCACCCCGTCCCTGGCACGCTGAGGGCAGCGGCTTCAGTCGCAGGCTGAGGGCGGCGCGGCCAGCTCGATGGCAGCCGTGTTCCTCGTTACGCTGTACGAGTATTCGCCGCTGTTTTACATCGCCCTGGTGTCCGTCTGCTTCCTCGTCACCAGCGCGCTCGTCCTCGGCTGGTCAGTGCTCGGGGGCCGGTGGGGCTCGGCCGTGGGGGCCTGGGCTGTGCTGAGGGGGAGCAAGGCCAGGCCCACAGTAGGGGCTTGAAACTGTCCCTTCCAACCCGAACACTCCTAGGCTTCTAAACGAGCAATAAAAAATAATTTTGAAAAGAAATACGTATTTCTGTTAAGCTCGTTTCTCTTTTAGTAATACCGAAGTGTTTTCTTAGTGGTTGTTGTAATGTCATTCATAATATTGGCAAACAATGCGTTTGTATGTAGTGAGCTATGTGTGTGTGTGTCGAGGGAGCAGAGCTGGGGAGGGTCTGGAGGGGCTGAGGGACTGGGAAAGGGGCTCAGCCTGGAGAAAAGGAGGCTCGGGGGACCTCGTGCTCTGCACAGCTCCCTGGGTGCAACCAGGGTCTTTGCCAACCTAAACAATTCTGTGAATCTGTGACCTGATCTCCTGAAGTGTCTCGAGGTGGTGAGTGAAAGGGCTTCTTGTGCTTGAGAGCATGACGCAAAAACTCCACTCTTGCCTTTTTCAGAAGCAGCTCCTTGAATGTCCCTAACCCTCAGGAGTGGCTGTAAATGTAAATACTGGTACTTGCCAAGAGCAGAGAACTGATTGGCAATCAGAATCTTTCAGGTAGAAACTGTGGCTGCACCACACTTGTATGGCTTGTGGTGAAACTAAAATTGGAGTTGTTGAACTTCCTCTCATTGGTTCCCCATTAATATCTACAAAGTGCTGGTGATAAAGGTATCTTTTAAAAAATTATGATACTGAACCAATATTTAGATGAATCTTCATCATGTCTATCCCTATCCACTGATGCTTTTGCCAATTTAATCATTATTTATCTACTTGTAGTAAATTCTGGCAATCCCCTGCTCAAAAAGGTCTGAAATAGATGAGTTCTGGTGTCTTTTGGGTACAGGCTGTACAGAGGACTGTCCAGAGGCTTTTTTTTTTCAGGATCAGAGATTCCAGTTGCACCAGCACTAGGTGTTACTGCAATTTATGGAAATACATGCATTTTTTAATTCAAACTGGAGTATTAAGGGCCTGTTATTCAAGGAGGAGCTGTAGCCAGGAGCCCAGCACATACAAACAGGTGAATGTGCAGGCAGCTGCTTAGGGGTATTTGCTGCTGCCTCAGAATTCTCCTGTGCCATGGCCATGTCCAGGAGCCTCCAAGGGATTTTCCTGTGCCTGTAGCTGCAGTTACAGCTCAGGTGCTCCTGAAGTTGCTCAGGAAAACAACTCAAATCCTTCATTTGCCACACGGAGCACTGTAAATGCAAATGTTGTCACTGGAGCACAGAATACCTGATCTATTGCTGCAGTGGCATTTGGGCTCCCCCATAATTTTCAGCATTAATTTCTTTAATGATGTGTTTGTGGTGGTGTCAGTCAGCCTGAAAAGCACCAGCTGTTCAGGAATGTTCATGTTCTGATTTGTCAGCCTTGGAGTGATGGGAGCAGCGACTGTTCCTGTGGGCAGCTCTGCATACCTGTGGCTCTGCTCACCGTCCAAGTATGTTAATGCACAGGCAGCTTCCAGAGCCAGTCCCACGGGTGCCCTGGGCACGAGGTGAAGTGGAATTTAGATCACCTGATTTCCTGGGCAATGTGTTTTTAGCTGGAGGGAATGCTCCTGTTAGGTGGAGCTGAAGGCTCAGCACATGGTGGAAGTCTGGCTTGGCAGAAACATTCATTAACTAAACCCTTGGAAATTCCTGATTTTTCTAAGGTAGCACTGCTTTGAAGAAATTAATGTTCTCCTCTACCAGCTAATGATCTGGACTGTTAGATCATAAAATAAAGACTATATCTTTATTCATCCTTCCTATACTTCCTACACTTAAAATTTACAGAAAACCACACCTGACTGAGGAACAGAAAGGCCTCCGTGCCTTCAACTGCTGCTAAAACTGTATCAGAGGCTCTTTTATCTTGTCACTTTTCATGAGGATAATCCTGTTGCTTTCATCCAGTGAAGAAAATTTCCAAGGAACAGGGATTTTCCGCCACAATCAGGCAGATTGTGGTATAAAACAGGGCTGTGGAGATGGGCTCTGTTAAGGTTTGGGTATTGAAGAAGGGAAACAGCTGCTGCCTCTGGTTTCTTTGTGAGATCTTTAACTGGGATATTCCCCCACAGCCCCTGGCATGTCACTGTGGGTGTTTTCCCTTGTAGCAGAGAGAACTGACTCTGTGTGCTCAAACCAAGCATGGCCACAAGCCTTTGATGATGCCACTGAACAAATAGAAATGTTTCCATGAGAGGAATGGCTTTCAACGGACAGAGAGCAGCTTGAGGTTGGATATTGGGAAGGAATTCTTGTCTGTGATGGAGATGAGGCCATGGTACAGATTGCCCAGAGAAGCTGTGGCTGCCCCATCCCTGGAATTGTTCAAGGCCACGTTGGATGGGGCTGGAAGCAACCTGGGCTAGTGCAAAGTGTCGCTGCTCACGGGAGGAGGCTGGAATGGTGCTCGGTTCTGCAGGACTCAGATGGGAGGAAATTCTGGCCTAAGCCTTTACCACTAGAGGGCACTGACAACTCTCATTAGTTTTATTCCCTTTGTGGAAACTCAGAGCAAAATATTCCCCCCTTAAAGATTGCATCACTGGGCAGACTCCTGCCTTCTGACAAAAAGCTGAAGTCGAAATGGCAGGATACATTATCCATGCATCCTAGCAGATATTCTGGAAAGCCAAGCTACCTCTGTTTGTTCTGCTGCTTGCTATTTAGAGCTGACAAAACAAAACAAAAAAAAAATCAAATGTTTCAACACTAACACTGAACTCACTCGTTCTTCTTGTTTTGTGTCTCCTAGGTTTGGTTTGGGTGTTCCTGTTATTCTGAGGAACTCGGAAGAGACAGAATCCAGCACAAGGGTATTGAAAAAACGGATGAGACAAGTGAAGAATCCTTTTGGGCTGGAGATCCCTAATTCTGCTGCAGCTTCAGTAACAAGTCAGTGAATTTCTTACGTGGGTTTTGTCAATTTGCATTCCTGAACTTGGTACTTTCCATTTTCTGCCTAGAATCATAGCATGGTTTGGGTTGGAAGGGACCTTAAAGATCGTAGTTTTTGCTCTCATCCTTTTTCTCTATCATAATTCCTCAGAAATACACTTCCATTCCAACAGAAATAAGCTTTTACACAGTTTATAAACGTGGTGTTTTTAAAAGTGAAATGTTTGGATGTGGAGGTACAGTTTAATTCTCATTAATGGAACACTTCCTGCTATTACAGATCTTTAAGTAACTAAAACATTTGCAAATTACCAATCACTGTGGGCGTTTCTATAAATTTCATGGATTTGTAGAATTGTACAGAATTCATTATGGAACATGTGCCACCCACTTAAATCTAAGCCCAGATCTTCAGCAGTGTTTGGAAGTGCACTATTTTTAATAAATAGATAAATAAGTCATCACTCTCTTTTTCTATCTGTTCCCCAATTGAAGCTGAATGTAAGTATCTGTTTGGATCAGAGTTCAAGCCACCCCTGTCATTCCTGAAATCACCCACAGAGGAAGAGGAATTCATGGCCTTCTGCATCACTGGGGAGCAGTGAGCAAGGCTGAGCATCTTCCACCCACACGGACGTGGGGCCTTCCAATGCACGAGGAGGGGCTGTAGCAGATTTCCCCCCTCCCTCAACATAACCCCCCCAACGAAACAAATCCCACAATTCAGGTAACTGGGATTTTTCAGGAGCTTGGAGCACTCCTCCTCCTGTTTTTGCAGGAAGCGTTTAGAAGTTAACAGGTTTTTGAAAACACAATGGAGAGCATAGATGCCCTTTTTCTCCTCCCTCTGCATGATCAAGAGCCTTATTCTTTGAGACCACAGAGAGTTTTGTAGATGAGTGATCTAATTACTGCCATTATCTCAGGAGGGAATGGACTTTGGGCAAAGGTTGTGCTCTTGGATCTGCCAATGAGTGTGTAAAGTGTTACCAGAAGTTAAAATTTACCGTGGTGGTATTTTTGTGGTATTTTTGTGAGCTTAATCAGCCATTTTATCTCCTCTCACCCACCTCCTCATCCCCACTGACTTACATAAATACTAAGCTGAATCTAAATAGTCAGAAGATTTGTTTATAATGATAAATAATTTTTGTTATTTTATAATGTTTAGCATTTTAGGGGTGGCCTAATTGCAGCCTTTCAGTACCTGAAGGGAGCCTAGAAGAAGAGACTTTTAGAAGGGCCTGGAGGGACAGGACAAGGAGGACTGGCTTCCCACTGCCAGAGGGCAGGGATAGTTGGAATAGTGGGAAGAAATCCTTCCCTGTGAGGGTAGTGAAACCTGTTATGAATAAAAAAGTTATCAATTTTTTTTAAGGTTGCAAAGTTAAAAAAAGTTGAACCAATTGCTGTTAAATTGAAAGTTACCTGCATGTTGCAGCCACCTACTGTTAAGAGCTCTCCTTTAATTACCTGTTAATGGTTGGTGATTAGCCATTGTCCCCTCTAATGCTTGCCAGGGGTGATACCAGACCCGCAGGCAGCAGGGGAAGGGGAGTGACATCAGAGCTAATATGCAGATGAGAGAATGCATTTCACCTGTAAGTTTCAGGAAAAAAATCCTAAAAACAACGAGCCGACATGGAATTAAGAGACCTAAGTGACGTCTAAGGACGAGAAACTTAATCCATATCTGCTAAGATCCTTTTACTTCTCACCCTAACCTGAAAAGGTCTTAACTAGAAAGAGGACCTGGAATGTTAGACCGAAAAAGGTGGGAATTTCCTACACTTCTTGAGGACCAAAGCCCCACCTCTGCCTGCAGACCAGCGGACACAGCTGCACCATCCTCCTCCTCCTCTGTGCCACTCCTGGGAGCAACGGCAGCGTGGGCACGACCTGTCAGCTTCTCCCCACCTGAGCTGATTCTTTTTAATAAAGGCACTAAAAAGGAGAAAGATCTCTCACCCCATTTATTTAAAAACCCAGCACAGATTGCACAGAGAGGGACTTGGGACAAGGAATGGAGGGACAGGACACAGGGAATGGCTCCCACTGATGGATGGGAGATTGGGAGGGAATTCCTGTCTGTGAGGGTGGTAAGGCCCTGCCATAGGGTGCCCAGAGAAGCTGTGGCTGCCCCTGGATCCCTGGAATTATTCAAGGTCAGGTTGGACAGGGCTTGGAGCAGCCTGGGACAGTGGAAGGTCTCCCTGCCATGGCAGGGGGTGGAACAGGGTGATCTTCAAGGTCCCTTCCAACCCAAACCATTCTATGATTTTATGGTTCTATGATAAAAATCTGTGACACTGAAGTTGTTTTCTGCTTGTAGCTCTTCAAGCATCTAGACTGAGCAATTGCAGGATTCCTGCACGTGGTGGGTTAATGAAATCCCTCTCCTCTTTCTCCAAGGGGGTGTAACGCTGACACCTGACTGCCTGGAGGACTGTGTCCTTACCTGCTACTGGGGCTGCAATGTCCAGAAGCTCCACGAGGCACTGCAGAAACACGTCTACTGCTTCAGAATAAAGACTCCTCAGGCATTAGAGGATGCTCTCTACAACGAATACCTCTACAAACAACAGTACTTGTATCCTTTTTTTGAATTGTTTTGACAAAATATGTTGTTTTTTTGGCACGGGGAACATTGAGGATGGTAAACGCGCTGCAGATTTTGGCATAACTCATTTATGAACAAACTTGATGAGAAATATTCGTTATGCAAACGTCATGTTTGTCTGCAATTGCAGCTACTGATTGTTTTCCTTGACACAGGCAAAGCATTAAAAAAAAAGACAAGGCAGAGAAATATTGTCAGTTACCAGAAGATGCTCAAGTTGTGGATTTTGGCCCCGTGCCTAGAGCTCGCTATCCCTTGGTAGCACTGCTGACGTTAGCAGATGAAGAAGACAGAGAAATATATGATATTGTAAGTAATATCAGAGTATACTTCAGGGTCACTGTGTTTAAGGCCTGAATGTTTCAGGAGAAAGGCTTGAATAAAGCAGATTCACTTTCCTGTTCCCTAGAATTTGGTCCCTCACTTTCTTATTTTCTAAAATAAAGCAGTGCAAAGCTTTAACTTCCAATCCTCAGTCTTTGAAGAGGCAATGGAGAAAGATTGCTTACTCTTTACTTATTCACTACAGCATTTAAAAGATGGTTGTGATTTCCCCAAGGCTTCTGCCTGCCAGTGTCCCTGTGGTCAGAGGAGTGAGGGTTGGGGCACTTTAACAACCTGTTACTCTGATTTCTGAGATCACACAGGCATGTGGTGGAGCTCTTGCACTTACACAGATTCTTGAGTTCTGTTGGCAAGGCAGGAGGGATTTTTTGAATAAGTGTCTGGCACAGATATGGAGCTGATTGCTGACTTGGCTATTAGAAACCTAAAAATTACCTTTCTGCTCCAGGTCTGTGTCATGGTTGTGTCTCACAGGAGCCAACTCCAGGGCACTTACAGGAAGGGGTGAAAGTCTGGCTTGAGGCTGATAGAAGATACTCAGCTCCTCAAAAAGGGTCTCCTCCTAATCTCTTGCTATTAAAGCAGTTTCAGCCTTGCCACATGCTGTTCAATACCCTTTATAAGCTCTAAATTGGTGAACTCTGAATGATTTGAGACACACTTTTATCTCCCATCTTTTCATTGGATTGATAATCTGCTTGCAGCAGCTCCTTGAACAGTAGCACAACTGAACTTGGAAGCAAATTGCCTAAATCCACTGAACACTTTTCCATCCATTCATCTGCAAGCTGTAATCACACCAGTGCCTAAGAAATCTGTCCCCTTTCCAGGTGATGGCTGTCCTTGGCTTCTTGTCCCTTGACTTTAGGACTGCCTTCCTCCCTCCTGTCCCCACTCGAGATGTTTTAATGTTTTAATACATTTTTATAGAGACCCTAAGTGTAATATTTGAATGTATTTGACATTAGCATGGGCATGAATTTGTAATGCCTCTCTTTTGATCCTTAACATAGAAGAAAAGTGTGGAAGGAGAATGATGGAGGTATTTTTCCCCTGGTTTTGGGGGAAAGGAACACATCTGTAAAGCCAGTCGGGAGTAACTCCACCTGAACTCCTTGCCAGACAAATGTCAAAATTGCGTCTGGTTTATTGAAACAAACTTGTAAAATAGAAATGGAATGTGGAAATGGATCTTTGCCAGTGTGATATTACCATTTTGAATTATATCTGGGGGGTCTGTGTGGGTGTCCATCACTGTGGATGGTGTTTCAGTGATTCTTTCCTGGGGGAGGTCGTCTGATTTTTATCCAAACTGGTTTTGTGGCAAGATCATCCCTACTTGGTTTTGTGCCATCATTTTCCTCTAGATCCATAAAATTAGCATGACCATATATAAAACATACAGAAATTACTGGAAGACTGTCATGGCTAAAGTGGAAGCTTAGATCTCAGGCACTGTGATTTAGAAAAAAAAGACCCATTTGCCAGGGAATAGTGAAATCAGTTCTTATAAATCCATATGTGTAGGTACATACACATTTGAACTCTGTATTTAATTAGCCATGTGTGGATTTTGAAGTGCAAGTCTAATTTGCCTTTAAATTTCTTTTTAAAGCAAAACAGCTTCTATATTTCATTTCTCTTTTGACAGCTTCTGGGAACTACAATAATATTGAATTTCACTTTCTTTTTTCCCAGCTTTTTAGAGGCTATTACGTAATTTGGGCAGGGTGGGGGTTATTAGGCACAGCATGCAAGCTTGGAGTGCTTGCATTTCCAGAGGAATTATCTGAAGTCAGCCCGTGGGGGTTCAGAATCCTTTCCAGTGAAATTTGTCTTTTGCCTGCTTGGATTACAAGCCAATCACTTCTTAGTGATCTTTAGAGTCTAAAAACTGCAGTCTGTGTGTTTCTGAGGGAAGGGGTAGAAAGTGGAGAAGACTGCTCAGGTGCCTTTGCAGTTTGGGGTGTTATTCCATGAGGTGGGAGCAGCCAGAGCAGGTCTCTGCTATAAACTGACTACAGAAGAGCTCCATGGGGAAACAGGGTGAAAAGCTGAAGGAGCACCAAGGGCTCTCCTGTGTCACATCCTGTTTATAGTATTTTTTTATTTATTTGATCAGTGCTTGAAGCCAACATCGTTGAATTCCTGATTGTCTAAGGAATTAAGCAGGTCAGGAGCTGTAGCAAAACAAATCAGAAAATCAGGGAATAATATGGGTTGGAAGGGACCTTAAAGATCATATTCCACCCCCTGCCATGGCAGGGACACCTTCCACTATCCCAGGTTGCTCCAAGCCCTGTCCAACCCCACCTTGGACACTTCCAGGGATCCAGGGACAGCCACAGCTTCTCTGGGCACCCTGTGCCAGGGCCTCACTACCCTCACATCAGGAATTCCTTCCCAAAATCCCATCAAACCCTGCCCTCTGTCAGTGGGAAGCCATTCCCTGTGTCCTGTCCCTCCATCCCTTGTCCCAAGTCCCTCTCCAGCTCTTCTGGACCCCTTTTAGGCACTGGAGGGGGCTCTAAGGTTTCCCTGGAACCTTCTCTTCTCTGGGGTGAACGCCCCCAGTTCTCTCAGCCTGAGTGATAAGGTTATTAAACATAGAATTTTTTTTCTCTTTGTAGATTGCAATGGTAGCTGTAATTCATGTTCCTGATGAAAGCTACAGACTTTCCTGCCGAATTTTGTATCAGTATCTCCTCCTAGCTCAAGGTCAATACCATGACCTGAAGGTAAGCCATGCACGGAGTCTGGTTTCATGTGTATGACAGCGTTAACTTTAGCTTGTGTAGGCTTTCAGGAGCCTAAATTAGTACAAGACTTCTATTGTCATGCAAAGAACTGGATGGTAGTTTAAATTATTTTATCAGTTAAGTAGTGCCACAGGAACTTACTGTACAGAAATATTTTCCATTAAAAGAGTCAAGGTTTCCCAGAGAAATTAACTGCTTCTAATCTAGGAGGCCTAGTGTCCACTTAGTAAAGCAGTGGAAAAAAAATTCACTGTTGAATGCTTCCTCTTTCCAGAATTGTTATTTCCTTTCTTAAAAATTCCCTTTTAATCAGGAAAGCCTCAGAAGAAACTTACTTTTTAAAAATTCCTTCTTCTTGCACTATGCTTAGGAATCATACCCAGAAGAATTTGCGCTTCACATAAAATAAGACAAAAAAAAAGGAGTAGGGGATTGGAATATGAGCAAGAGCAGAATGGGTTGAGTGAAGCAGATTTGACAGCATGGTGGATATAATTTTGGTAGGAAGAGATAGAGGATCCCTCTAGGCACAGAGACTGATGGACCAGAAACAAACCCGAACTGCTCAAAACCTGAGCACTTCTGTTAAATTTCATGCATGACATTAATTTGATGCAACCAAGGTCTGAGGACTTATCTTTAATATTTTCCCCCTGTTTTATGTAATTTCATGTTTCTGAAATGCCTTTAACTGGAGGCCAGGCAGCTGCCAGGAGCCACACAGAGTCTGGCACTGTTTGACCCAGTGAAGGGATCCAGTGGAACTTCCATTGCTCCCGTGCGTGTGCAGAGACTGAGGAAGAGTTTGTTCACTCCTAAATATTTGTGTTTATGTGTATTTTAGCAACTCTTCATGTCTGCAAACAGTCCTGCACCCTCCTCCAGTGATACCTTCCCTGGTGAGAGCAGCACTGACAGAGGGCTGCTGGAAAAGGCTGGGCTGGCTGGAGAGGAACCAGAATTGCAGGAAGAAAACAGCAAAGACTGTGTGGTGTGCCAGAATGGCCCCGTGAACTGGGTCCTCCTGCCCTGCAGACACACATGCCTGTGTGATGGCTGCATCAGGTATTTCCAGCAGTGCCCCATGTGCAGGCAGTTCGTGCAGGAGTCTTTTCCACTTTGCAGCAAAAAGGAGCAAGATGAGGATGAATCGACCCGTGTCTTGCAAGATGTTCTTCCTGGAAGAGTTTTTTAACGGGAGTTAAAAATAAAAGAGCTGGGTTATGTGCA